CTAATGGGATTGATTATAATGATAATAATATTATTATTAGAAATGATAATAATTTTAATATTGCATATAATAGATATATATGATTAATTAAGTTATTGTTACTTACAATTAAAATTTTACAATGTAATCTTGCAACATATATTGATTTATTAATAACTATATGGCATGATTTTTCATGACCAATGTTTATACAATTTTGGAATTCTGTTATACTAGCTCTTTGATTTTGATATATAACAGATGAGATTCGTTTGGCTTTCATTTTAGCAATTTCAGCCTTATATCTTAATATTGTTTGGTATCGTATCTCGAGTGCGATATCATAACCGTCGTCGCTGTCATCATCATCACTATTATTACTCTTATTATTATTGGCAATTGTGTCTGTTTGATTTCTTTTTAATCGGCGTGGCATTTTTATAATTTTATAAAAAAATTTAAGGAAAAAAAAAACATGTAAAACAAAATATTTATTACTATTGGCACTTGGTGTTGTACAAAGATTTTTTTTCAATCTACAGTCAAAGCTCGTTATAGTGGATCTCGTTATAGTGGATTTTGTCTATATTGGACTTTTTAAATTTTCCCAATCCACTTTATAATAAAATTGTTCGTTATAGTGGACTTCTTAATAAAATCTCTTTATTGTGTATAGTGGACTTTTAAAAAATTTGATATAGAGAATTATGTTCGTTATAGTGGAAATCATGTGATTTACGGCAATCTTTTACATTAATGATTAATATTAATCTCTAAATAGTGTGACTTTAACAAATTGAATTACCGAAATTAATTGGTATGCCAACTTTTATTAATTTTACAAAATTGATATTAACAAATTGATTTGTGCGTTATTCTTTTTTTAAAGGCAGCGACACTTGATTAATTTTTTTTACAAACTTAGAAGCAATAAATTTAAATCAAATTTCTTCTGCTGAAATTTCTGAACTGCAAAATTCAATTGATGCATTAAACCTGAAAGATCCAATCACTGCAGAACGTTTTATTTGCATTGATGATAAAGCACCAATGCAAGTACTAACAGATGAAGAAATTATTAGAGCAGTAGAGCCAAATCCTGAGGTTGACAATTGATGAAGAGGAAGAAGTGGAAATGATGGTTATTTCTGATAAAGAGGCATTAAATAATTTAGAAAAAGTAATTCAATATTTAAAAAATCCACCAGATAATTTTACAATTAGCTATTGAGAATTAAAAATGATTAATGGTTTAAAATTAAAATTCATAAACATATTCAGGATAATGCAAAACAACTTACACTAGACAGTTTTATTTAATAATAATTTATTTATTTTATTACGTATATGAATTTATTTGTGTTCCTAATAAAAAAAAAATTTTTAATCTCGTTATATGGGACTTTTCAATTTGTCTATAATAAGCCCACTATAAAGAGATTTTTTTTTATAGTGGAAATTCGTTATAGTGGACAAAATGCCTGGAACCAAATTTCCACTATAACGAGCTTTGACTGTAATATATAAAATCAATGATCTTCGTGCATAATTTTATATGTAAAATCGAAAAAAAAATCATTCTGGTATAAACAAACCTACCCGATTTAACCAAGATTGTTCCTTGAATTATAAAAAAGACCCTTTATTTTGACATATTTTTTGCCAGAGTAAACAAATAAGACTCGAAGAAAATCTTAATGTGAAGTTGGTCTACCAGCTCTATCAGTTCTATAAGAAATTTGGATATCCACAATTCAATCTTTTGACTTAAATTTTTTTTTACATAATAATAATTAATGCCAAGCTTTAAATATTTATTTAGAATTTGTTTATAGAAAAGTATTGTTTTTTTTTTTATAATATATATATCACTGGATGAATTAGAAAGTTGTATCAAGCAAATTTATTAACTTGGTGATATTTATTTAATATTTTCAAACAAAAATGAATTTGTATAATGGGCTTCTTTCTATTAACAAAATGTCAGTTAACTTAAAGAAAGATTTGTTGATTTTTGATTAAAGTTTCATTAATGATTATTAACGGTTTTAATTATACATACATATATATATATATATATAATATCACTTTACAAGCTTCATAGATCTTGCTTTTAACACTTCAATCAACTGCTATATATATAGCTACAAATAATTGATTAAACATTCATCAAGTATAATGATTTAGAAGGACTTTTATTTACATATTTAATAAATAAGTACAGATTATATTTGTAAAAACCAAGGTTTGTTATATTCACTCTCATTAATTCCGATGCATATAAGGTTTAGATGATCGCGTAACAATATATTAATAGATAATATTAATAATAAGCACAGATTATATTTGTAAAAACCAAGGTTTGCTTGTTATATTCACTCTCATTAATTCCGATGTATATAAGATCTAGATGATCATGTAACAATTTTATATATCAATATATAATATATATTAATAATAAGCATAGATTGTACTTGTAAAGACCAAGGTTTGTTTGTTATATTCACTCTCATTAATTCCGATGTATATAAGATCTAGATGATCGCGTAACAATATATTAATAAATAATATTAATAATAAGCACAGATTGTACTTGTAAAAACCAAGATTTGTTTTTTATATACAAGCTAGTAATAGGCTACTTAACTTTTAAACATTTCTATTATAGTGTTGCTATGATAGTTTCATTTCATCAATTAATATTATAATAAATTAATAACCTATAAATAATTATAAATCAATCTCTTATAATTAAAGTCAAAATTTTTCAAGTAGAAATAAGTGACTTTGTAGGGAACACTTTGGCACAATTGTTGCCACTGAATTTGTTTTAGTCTGCATACTAGTTGAGTGATAATCTTAAAATAAGCGTGAAGAAAAGTAACACCTCCGACTGGCACAGAATTACCAATATTTAAGCTAGCCTTTTCTTTTAACTGTTGTCAAAAGTTCCAGTCTGGCTCCAAAAATTTTATTATGGCTTGTTATATGAAAAACCGCTGCATAAATTTTTATTTTATCACCACAGAATTTTTTTTTGAAGTGGACGATAATAATTTTATTCGCGTAATGTTTACATTTGATCTGCAATGTCCTACTATTGCTATTGGTTTTTTTTTTTTCTGGAAAAACAATTTATTTTTTGACAGTCCAAAGTGACAAAACATGAGCATTGTTGTTTGGTTTGGTTTGGGTCCCCTAAAGAAAGCGTGTTAATAATAACTAACCAGGGTTACTCTTTTTATTTTTTTATTTTAGTTTATAAATATTTTAAATGGAATCAAAACGCGGAGTAGATCTTGCTGGGAACGATTGTTTTGTATAATCGTAATAATAATAATATTATTAATATATAATTACAAGATGTCAAGGCAATGTACTGTTGAAAAAGAAACAATTCAAATATGCAATGTTTGATTATCGGAAATTGCAGGCGTTGAAGCACGCACGCTACCTTGAACACTTTACAGTCATTCTCTCATCTTCCTCGTGTACATAAGGCTAATCTACCGAGCTTCCCCCGATGATACGATGATGCCCCTCAACCAGGGGGGGGACGCATGGTCCTGGCTGGGGCGTAGAACATCAATCGTCAATGACACTTTCACTAATCCTCCTTCACAGCACCGGCTGCTGGCCGAA